AGCACCTGCTTCGGTTCAGACCCTGGCACTGACTCCTGGAGCTGACCTGCTCTGACCTGCACCTCCCTCCCCCTCTTGTCAATGGCGAGTTTGAGACGTTTCCGTGTTTGGGCGCCAGCAGGTGGCGTGGTGGTAAAGGTGACTGGATTCCCACATGGTCAACTGCGGTGTGGTCCCAGCCCAGTCGGTGACTTGAAAATCTGGGGTGGGCTCATGTGCGCGTCCCCAAAATCCCAAGAGAATTGAAAAGGGATTCACATGGCCATCCCCCCTGGGGGTCAATGGCGAGTTTGAGACGTTTCCGTGTTTGGGCGCCAGCAGGTGGCGTGGTGGTAAAGGTGACTGGATTCCCACATGGTCAACTGCGGTGTGGTCCCAGCCCAGTCGGTGACTTGAAAATCTGGGGTGGGCTCATGTGCGCGTCCCCAAAATCCCAAGAGAATTGAAAAGGGATTCACATGGCCATCCCCCCTGGGGGTTCTTCTCATGTAAGTGCTTCGATAGGCTCACTCCTTGATTCTGTAAATCCGCGTTGAGTGCAATGTTGGTGGAAAGAACAGGGACTCGAGATGGCCAGCAAGGCAGACCCCGTCCCTGTCCTCAGGAGGGGAGACACCAGTGAATGTGACACCTGTAAATAACAGCAGTCATGGAACTTGCCTTGCCAAAGGGCAGGAGGAGAGGCCTGAGGGTGAGGGCTGGCTGTCCAGGCCTGTGCAGGGTCCCTGTTCTGAGGGAGTTCAGTGCATTCCAGGAGCTAGAAGCAGCTCAAAGCAGCAGCAGCCAGATTTGGCTGCAGAATTCAAGAGATTACGTGCATTAACCAAAACCCAAATGTAATAAGCCTGTTATGACAGCTGATGGTGAACGTCCCCTTACAAACTGGCCCCCCAAAGGTGCTGGTCATTTTTTTAAGTTTATTCGTTATTTCTTCCACCACAGAGACAGCACCCCCAACAGGGCCTTCACCACCATTCACCCCAGCTTCAGCCAGCCCTGGATCACGGGCACACGCTTGTGCAGTCTAGTTGGGGAACTCCACCCACAACCCAGCACCCTCCCATGTAGGATGCCCTCACAGAAATTGCATTTTACACTGCTGCCACTTTTCGGTCCTGGTCTTGTACTCACCAGAGAGAGAGACAGAGAGAGACAGAGAGAGGCGAGAAGTCACAACACCCACCCACCCCCACCCCTCCCCACCCCTTGCCATACTGCAATCCCTTCTCCATTCTCCTGGGATTTGGGGCATTCAAACAGTAATTTGTGGAAGTCTAGCATCTTCACCACATGACCTGCTGGTCCCCCCCACCCCCAGGTAATTTTGTGTTGTGATTTAAAACATGGAATGCAATAATCCCTTGTTTCTTAGATTTTTTTTTTTTAGAAGTTTTTGCTATGGGGCGATTGCACTCACCAGAAAGACAGAGAGAGATAGAGAGACAAAAAGCCAGAAAGCACCCCCCAGGGGGATGGCCATGCCACAGTCCCTTCTCCTCCATTCTCCTCTTGGGATCTTGGGCATGTACGCATACGCGCCCAGCGTGAGTTTAAGCCACTTGGTCCAGGACTCGAACCACGGTTGACTACATGGGAGTCCAGCGACATAGCCATTACGCCAACTGCTGGTCCCTATTTTTCTTTTTTAAATTTTTGCCATAGAGTGTGTACACTTGAGTGAGAGAGACAGAGACCAAGAGAACGGAAGTTAGAACTCACTCCTGGGGAGAATGGCCATGCCACAATCCCTTCTCTTCCATTTTCCTCTCAGGATTTCGGGTATGCACACACACACACACACACACGTGCCGGTGTGACTTTTTTTTCCTTACAGGTTTTTGCCTTAGGGCAGGTGCACTCACCAGATGGAAAGAGACAATGAGAGAGAAGGTGAGAAATCACTCTCCACGGGCAATGGCCACACCACATTCTTTCTCCTCCAGTCTCCTGGAATCTTGAGTACGCATACACATGTGCCTGGCACAATTTTGAAGCCACCGGGTCTGGGACTAGAACCACAGTCAGCTGTGTGGGAGTCCAGCAATGTAACCACTATGCCATCAGCTGGCCCTGCCCAAAAGCCGCCAGGTCCAGACTGAACCACAGCCATGTGGGAGACTAGCCCTGTGGCTCAGTAGTTAAGGGAGCCGGATCCCACATAGCCAACCATGTGGTTTGAATCCTTCCCCTGGCAGCTTAGAAAACACACTAGGCATGTGTGCATGCATGCCCCAAAATCCAGATGGGATGGAGAAATGGAGGAGAAGGGATTGAGGCGTGACCATGCCCCATTAGGGAGTGCCTTCCTTTCTCAGTCTCTCTCTGGCAAATGTACACACCATCTGGCTATTAAAAAGAAAAAACAAAAACAAACCAGGAACCAGGAGGTGGCATGGTGGTTAAGGCTCTGGACACTCCCACATGGCTAACCACTGTTCAAACCTGGTGGCTTGCTTTCTCACCGCCTCCCCCCTTACATGTCTCTCTTTGGTCAAAATTTAAAAAAAAAAAAGAAAGAAAAAAGAATGAGTAAATAAAATTAAATATAAATAATTATTTTTTTTTTTTAAATAAGAAGTAAACAGATGGGACCAGCAGATGGCATACTGTTTACATCGCTGGACTCCTGACTGTGTGTGCCCAAAATCCCAAGAGGAGTATGGAGTAGAAAGGATTGTGGCATGGTCAATCCTCCTTGTGGGTGGGGTGATTTCTCACTTTCTGTCTCTCGGGTGAGCGCATACACCCTATAGCAAAAATCTCTCAAAGAAAAAAACTCTTAAAAAACTAGCTAAAGAGACACACAGGGCAAGGTCTGGAAGGGTCCTGGGTGCAGGGACTCCCGCCCAAGGAGTGGGACGTGCCACCCTCGGCGCATGGACGAGCTTCCTGCACGCCTTTGTGCATGCCTCCAGGTGTCGAGCTGTCCGGAAGTTCTCCCAAGCCCATCCGTGGGCTTTCGCGGAGAGTTCACTGCAGAAGCATGGCTGAAGCATAGTCACAGGCATGAAGGGAGACGTGGATTCAGCAGAAAGGGATACACCCACGCTAATAGGCCGAGTGGGGATGCAGGAAGGCTGAGACTCTTTAGATTCTTCTGGCCTCTCCACATTCCTGCCTCCCAGCCAGGAGTCAGGACTCCCTGGAATGAGGTTCTTCCTTTCTGTCCAGGTCTGTGGCCACCTGGCGAGTCTCAGGAACCAAGGACAAAAGGCCAAATAGTTATGAGGAAGGAACTGTGGGCAAAAACACACCGGGCCAGCCCATGGCATGGTGGCTAAGGGGCTGGGTCCCATGTGGCCTAACGCGCAGCTGAGTCCCTGGCCTGGCAGTCGGAGAAACCCTGGGCTTGTGGATAGGCCCCAAATCCAGAAGAGACGGAGAAATGGAAGAGAAGGGATTGCAGTGTGACTGTTTCCTAATGGGCGTGGATTCTCACTTTCTCTTTCTCTCTCTCCTTTTGTCTCTGGGTCTCTGGTGAGTCCATGCACCCTATGGCAAA